AGAGGACACGCTGTGCAGTGCTGAAAATCTGAGAGGTGACCACCTCTGCAAGTATGTGCTGCCTACCAGGGTCTCCCTGCTCAAACTTGAAGCCTGGCAGCTGTTGAGGCTACTACGAGCTTTGTCTCTCGTCACATCTGCGAAATATACTTGTGTGTATCCGCTTGCAATGTTTTGTCATACTTTATGACTTGCCAAATCAAGTAGACACGGTAAGTCGCTTTGGCTGCAGAGCGGTCTACCTAAAAGATAGTTCAAGCGGAGTTTTGGTATGGCACCTAAAAATGGAAGTTTATAATAAAGTGATGTTTCTGAAAAAGCTTTTTAACACAATGTTTTTGGCAGGGTAACCTTGCAAAAATGCAAACCGCATAAGCGAAACGTCGAGACATTAGAATAGAGAATAAAAGAGGGCCTCCTCATGGGTGGCATCTTGTTTCCCATTGATTGCATAAGCATTCTGGCTCTAACAGTATATTGTTCCAAGCATAGAGGAAGAAAAGGTAAACAATTAACTGTGGTTGCTGGTATCTGGACGATTGAACTTGCACCGCCGTGTCACCGTTAATTGTGAAATTTCTGGTTCCCTGTATAGGAAATATACATCGACATCCGAAGTCGAGATACGAGTCCCGGAACATAAACAATTGCACCGAGATTTTCTGACCCAGAATTTGTATTCGATGTATGACAATTTTGTCGGGTATGACCAAGGTAGTGCTGCAAACCTTTTTTCCATGCTATACTGAAATCATGAAAGACGCAAAATGGTGCCTAGGGAGCATGTTTTATTGTGCATGGAAATTCTGCACCCCCATGAGGGGCAGCACGAGTGTGGTCAGTGAAGATGACAGCTGGCTATCTGCAGCTGCTTGTCCCTCCACAGCCTGCAAACAAAGTACACGAAAAGGGTGAATGTTTATAAAAACAAGCATTTTTAAAGACTATGGAAATTGCATAGAACAAGAGAATCCCAGGGGTGTGGTGAGCAGTAGTGTATGGCATACCACTGCTTTTATCTTTTTTTAGAGCTCTTATGTAGTGCTCGAAATATCAAGAATGCGAGACTCCTGAAAGACATTTTGTTTATGGGGGCACCTTCCTAACCAAGGAACTGCTCAGACTAGCACACTCATGCTGTGGGTCTTCCAGTACAACACACAACCTATGTAGCAAGCAGCCTTGAGCAATGTGCACCTAGCATGATCCAATTACTTTGCAGCAGACAGGCCTGCTCTGTCCATCACATGAAAAATGGAAAGCGAGAAGTTGGAAATCACTCACTTCGAAACACAACACAAGGTCCGAAAATGAAAAGGAGCAAAAACAGAAGAGTCCTGCATTCACTTTCCTTTATGCTATAACTGTCTGTCATAACTGATTCCCAATGACAAGTTAACTGTTGTTCCCGTCAATGTTTTTGGTGCTGTAGAAGTCCAGCTCTTCCGCATTGCATTGAGCAAACAACAAAGACTGTGAGCCCAAGCTGCTCTGGGTGTAACTCAATAAAGCAAGGACAAAGAAACTTGGCCTGGAATAATTCATTAGTGCCATATGACACAGGTTTTCTTTCGACGGTTCTCCAAACAATGCTTGCCAGCCAATTTTAGACCTTGACTTGATTTTAGACCTTAAGCAAGCGCGCCCGTGGCCATTTGGCCACGGGCGCGCTTGCTCGGAGACGTGCGGGGAAATATGTGCTAGTGCAGGCACTTGGGCTAAGCCTAGGCAGAAGTTTAAACCGTCAAGTGATGATGACAAAGTTTGTCCTGTTTGTCCAGTTCAGTACGCAGAAAATATTGCTCTGTGTGGTGGCGAGAACCATCTGCTACTTACTCTCAACTGTGACAGATTGTGATATCTAGCCAAAGGTGGAGGATGTGAATACCTGAGTGCAAAAAATGAAGAGAAGTATACAAAACTGCACGCCAATGATTTTGCCGAGTTCGACAGGCAATGCCCAGCCAGGTGCGTCCTGCTTCCACAGCCCTTTGCAGCAAATATTTTTAGAAGTGGACCTTTTATATAAATAGCAGACACCGGTTTTGGAATTGGTGAGCCAGTTTTGCCTTAGTGTCATTCCCTTGTCAATTTCAGGGCAGGGGTAGATGTGGTGCTGCCGGGAATGTTCGGTGGAAGCAGGTTGCTGTTGGAAACCTGCTTCCACCGTCTTTTTACTGACACAGTCTCATTAATTGGATCTGTGCCTTGTCCGACACAAAACTCAAGTAACCATGTGTGGATTGTCTCTGCACCATGGTCTTGCTGAGGTGTCACCTTGCTAGAAACATCAACACGGTTGGACCTACAGTCACCTTGGGAGCTACCGACCAGGCACAATAGGTTAATGACAGCATCTTCTACATAGTTATGCACAGTGCAGGTCACGTTCACATTTTTGTGCAATTGCTGAGATAGGTACAAAAGCTGTCACTCTGGGCCACTGGAGCCAGCGCAGTTCACCATGATCACAGTGTAGCAATGCTGCAACCCCACAACATCAATGGCCACCAGCATGAGGCTACCGACGGCACTCCTGCATAATATATGTCCTGACACAGGCGCAAACCACGTATTATGGAGATGAATCCAGACTGTTTTTTATACCTACCATTTGGTGGTGGTGGAGCTGCCATCTGTGCTGGGTCCTCACTAGCACCTTTAGCCACAGCAGATGAGTCCTGCATCATTCAATCAAACACAAGTTAACGCACAACACATTGGCAGCCTTTCTGGTTCCGCGTTGATGTAATGCCCATTGCCTACACTTTAGAATTCAGGTATCGGAGTGCCTCATGCACAGCTCTAGAGAAATTAACTCGTCAGCTTGAGCGCTACGATCCGAGCTTTCAAAGAAACATCACGAGGCAGCACACTCGTGCAAAATCAATAAGACCAAAAACAACACAGTGTCTCTTTACTACAAGTAGCAAGTTTTAGGAGACCGTTACCGTGTTCTGCGGTGGCCACGGTACGGCTGGTAAGGCTTTAAGCGCGCTGAAAAGCATGCTTCTAAATTACAGCGCGAGCTCCCAGTAGCAATTTCGCTGCGCACGGCAACGGTACGCTAAAACCGCCCATTGAGGTGCCATGCACTTACTTACCGACACTGCAGCCGAGATGACGTGTGGCGACGGACGAGGCGCGTCCGCCCTCGAAATCATGCGCCTTCTTCCGCGTCTTAGCGAGGAACCTTTCTCATATGGGCCAAAATTCTGTCCTACTCCTCGAGTTCAGCGAGGACACTTGGTTCACGTCCCCCACCAGACTGCCGAATGGTAATCGCGACGTGAAAAAGCCCGACTTGACAGCAAAAATTCCAAAAGTGAAGCAAATCTTCGTACAGACACACGAGCACTTCACGTGCGACATCCACCGTCGGCCATGACGATTCATTACGATCGCGATGCAGCTCACGCATTGCGATCATCTAAATTGTTTCACTTACGTAAAAAGACATGATTCATGCGACCTAGACTTGACACCGGTAATTATATTTAGATTGTACCGCATTATACATTTTGAGAAGTTAAAAATGTTGCTTTTACAAGACCCTTCGATGCGGCGTTGCGCATTTCCCTCTAGGGACATATTTTGGGGACAAATCCCGATGAAGTTTCAACTTAATCGCCACTCTCCGTCGACGTCATCAACGCGCCGCGATGAAGTTCCCTGCCAGTTGAGTCCGCCGCCGATTGAGATTAGGCTCCTCCCACCGGCGACGTCACGATGAAGTTTCTTCATCGCTTTTTCCAGCATAGACAGACTGGCCTTCTTCTCTAGGAGGTGTTGACAAATCCCGATGAAGTTTCAACTCAATCGCCACTCTCCGTCGACGTCATCAACGCGCCGCGATGAAGTTCCCTGCCAGTTGAGTTCGCCGCCGATTGAGATTAGGCTCCTCCCACCGGCGACGTCACGATGAAGTTTCTTTATCGCTTTTTCCAGCATAGACGGAGCAGCATCTCTACAGCTGGAGGACCTTCGAACTGCTCAAGCAAGCGACGGGGAGTGTCGAGCACTCGCGTCGATGTGCCACAACGGGTTCCCTCCGAAGTCAAAGTTACCGCTTCACCTGATGAAGTATGCAAGCGTGTTGGACGAACTTTCGGTTTGTGATGGTTTACTTCTGAAAGACACTCGCATTGTGGTACCAACAGTGCAACGTGCGACAGCGCTGACTTTGATTCATGAAGGTCACCAAGGCATTACAGATGCAAGGCTCGGGCCCGGGAATCAGCATGGTGGCCAAGTATCAACGCTGATATAGCAGCACTCGTGGCACAATGTGAACAGTGCACGTCGTACCGAGACAATCCAGCAAAGCCACTTCGGAGCACGCAGCTTCCAAGTCTACCTTGGGACTTTCTGGGCGCTGGCTTGTTTCACCTGAACCGACAGACTTACCTCCTCGTGGTCGACTATTATTCCAGTTATCCGGAAGTGGTCTCGCTCAACTCTGCAACAGCTGGGCATGTCATTCAAGTGCTCAAGAGCATTTTCGCTCGTCACGGCATCCCCTCCACTCTGCGTTCAGACAACGGACCACCCTTCCAGTCCCACGAATTCGCTCGGTTCATGGCATCGTACGGAATCGCACACCAGACAAGCAGCCTAAACTTCCCCCAGTCCAATGGGGAGGCAGAGCGCATGGTGCGCACGGTGAAGAACTTGCTACGCAAGGCTCAAGATCCGTGCATGGCTTTGCTCAAGTACCGAGACACCCCCGGACCCTCAGGTTTCAGTCCGGCACAATTGTTGATGGGGCGCCGACTCCGCACCAGACTTCCCAAGGAGGGGAGACTGTTGGTGCCAAGTAGCAAGCCGCAGGAGGAGGTGGCCACCAATGCCGCGAAGCTCAAACGTCGGCAAGTCACCGACTTTGATCGCCGCCATCGGGCTACTCTCGCCGCTGGAAGACGGTACCCGCGTCTGGGTTCGTCCAGAACGGGTAAAGGCTACTGTCCTCAGTCCAGCGCAACGTCCAAGGTCGTGTCCTCAGTCCAGCGCAACGTCCCAGGTCGTACGTGGTGGAAACAGATGAGGGAGCAATCTGGCAGCGCAACCGGAGAAACTTGGTGCCCTTCAGTCTATCTATGCTGGAAAAAGCGATGAAGAAACTTCATCGTGACGTCGCCGGTGGGAGGAGCCCAATCTCAATCGGCGGCGAACTCAACTGGCAGGGAACTTCATCGCAGCGCGTTGATGACGTCGACGGAGAGTGGCGATTGAGTTGAAACTTCATCGGGATTTGTCCCCAAAATATGTCCCTAGAGGGAAATGCGCAAGGCCGCATCGAAGGGTCTTGTAAAAGCAACATTTTTAACTTCTGAAAATGTATAATGCGGTACAATCTAAATATAATTACCGGTGTCAAGTCTAGGTCGCATGAATCATGTCTTTTTACGTAAGTGAAACAATTTAGATGATCGCAATGCGTGAGCTGCATCGCGATCGTGATGAATCGTCATGGCCGACGGTGGATGTCGCACGAAAAGTGCCCGTGTGTCTGTACGAAGATTTGCCTCACTTTTGGAATTTTTGCTGTCAAGTCGGGCTTTTTCACGTCGCGATTACTACTCGGCAGTCTGGTGGGGGACGTGAACCAAGTGTCCTCGCTGAACTCGAGGAGTAGGACAGAATCTTGGCCCATATGAGAAAGGTTCCTCGCTAAGACACGGAAGAAGGCGCATGATTTCGACGGCGGACGCGCCTCGTCCGTCGCCACTCGGCATCTCGGCTGCAGTGTCGGTAAGTAAGTGCATGGCATCTCAATGGGCGGTTTTAGCGTACCGTTGCCGTGCGCAGCGAAATTGCTACTGGGAGCTCGCGCTGTAACTTTGAGGCATGCTTTTCAGCGCGCTTAAAGCGTTACCAGCCGTACCGTGGCCACCGCAGAACACGGTAACGGTCTCCTAAAACTTGCTACTTGTAGTAAACAGACACTGTGTTGTTTTTGTTCTTATTCACTTTGCACGAGTGTGCTGCCTCGTGATGTTTCTTTGAAAGCTCGGATCGTAGCGCTCAAGCTGACGAGTTAATTTCTCTAGAGCTGTGCATGAGGCACTCCGATACCTCAATTCTAAAGTGTAGGCAATTGGGCATTACATCAACGCGGAACCAGAAAGGCTGCCAGTTTGTTGTGCGTTAACTTGTGTTTGATTGGATGATGCAGGACTCATCTGCTGTGGCCAAAGGTGCTAGTGAGGACCCAGCACAGATGGCAGCTCCACCACCACCAAATGGTAGGTATAAAAAACAGTCTGGATTCATCTCCATAATACGTGGTTTGCGCCTGTGTCAGGACATGTATTATGCATGAGCGCCGTCGGTAGCCTCATGCTGGTGGCCATTGATGTTGTGGGGTTGCAGCTTTGCTACACTGTGATCATGGTGAACTGTGCTGGCTCCAGTGGCCCAAAGTGACAGCTTTTGTACCCATCTCAGCAATTGCACAAAAATGTGAACATGACCTGCACTGTGCATAACTATGTAGAAGATGCTGTCATTAAAATATTGTGCCTGGTCGGTAGCTCCCAAGGTGACTGTAGGTCCAACCGTGATGTTTCTAGCAAGGTGACACCTCAGCAAGACTTGCAAAAACTTAAGTGTACACATGGTGCAGAGGCAATCCACACATGGTTACTTGAGTTTCGTGTCGGACAAGACACAGATCCAATTAATGAGACTGTGTCAGGAAAATTACGGCTGCCTCCGGTCCTGTTTCCCAACAGCAACCTGCTTCCACCGAACATTCCCGGCAGCACCACATCTACCCACTGTCCTGAAATCGACAACGGAATGACACTAAGACAAAACTGGCTCACCAATTCCAAAACCGGTGTCTGCTATTTATATAAAAAGTCCACTTCTAAAAGTATTTGCTGCAAAGGGCTGTGGAAGCAGGACGCACCTGGCTGGGCATTGCCTGTCGAACTCGGCAAAATCATCGGCGTGCATTTTTGTATACTTCTCTTCATTTTTTGCACTCGGGCATTCACGTCCTCCACCTCTGGCTAGATATCACAATCTGTCACAGTTGAGAGTAAGTAGCAGATGGTTCTCGCCACCACACAGAGCAATATTTTCTGCGTACTGAACTAGACAAACTTTGTCATCATCACTTGACGGATTAAACTTCTGCCTAGGCTTAGCCCAAGTGCCTGCACTAGCACATATTTCCCCGTACGTCTACGAGCAAGCGCGCCCGTGGCCGAATGGTTCTCGTACTTGGTTCCCACATAAAGGGCCAAGGTTTGATTTCTGGCCGCGCATGCACCTTTATGTTAATGTCCCGCACATCCACCAAAATTTCGCGAATGACAGATGGTCAGGTGACGAATGAACAGGCACTAAACGTTTAATTTGGCGAACTTGTGCCAAAAACAAAAATACAAAGAGGTAGCATCACAGGCATCGAAGGTCGGCGGAGTAGCACGATTGAGCGCAAGAGCGAGACTCTTTGTATCGCCACGCAGTACCCCTCATGTATATGCGTGGACTTCTGGAACAATCGGCATAGAAAGTTCGGTGCGTAGAACATTCTGACTTTGAACAAGCAATGGGATTCTTGAATTAAACCAGAATGCAACATTTACAGAAATAACAAAAAGGTGCATGTGCGGCCAGGCATCATACCTCAGCCCTTTGTGTGCAAGCTAAGCACAATAACCATTCGGCCACGGGCAAGCTTGCTCGGAGACGTGCATGGCAATATGAGCAGCCTCTGCCATTAACCACATCTGACATGTACCAAGTGGTGGTCACCAACACGGTGCCCTTGGAAGTACTCAAAGGTCTTGTCTTTTATACTGACATGACATTACCTGCAAACCATGTATGCATGCTACTGAAACTGTGTCGTGTCAGCTGTGCACCAGTCATCAGGTAGAGCTGCAGCGGAAAAAGATAAGCTCAAGCGACCAACGACCGGAGCAGCAAAATCGCGACACACGGTGGTGGCCGGCACAAAGCAGCCTATCCTAAAGCTTGCATTCCGAAAGCTATCTTATCCCTCAATTTTCTGGCAGCCTCCAACGTTGAGACATGGAACATGACTGGCACTTGCTATTGGCGCGCTCGGGAACAGTAGCGCTGCCTGTCGCAATTTTGCTACTCCGGTCATTGGTCACTTGTGCTAATCTTTTTCAGCTGCAGCTGTACACTGCCACCCTGGATGGTGAGGGCCTGAACTGTCCCCAGCTGCACTGTTTAGGACCTCTCGCCCACTCAGCGAGAGCAGCTGGTTGCATTGCACATGCTGCTGGGCACCCAACATTACAGCACGAGTGCCCTAGATGTAGAGAAATGCAGTCAAGGTCTAAAATTGGCTGGCAAGCATTGGTTGGAGAACCGTCGAAAGAAAACCTGTGTCATATGGCACTAATGAATTATTCCAGGCCAAGTTTCTCCGTCCTTGCTTTATTGAGTTACACCCAGAGCAGCTTGGGCTCACAGTCTTTGTTTTTTGCTCAGTGCAATGCGGAAGAGCTGGACTTCCACAGCACCAAAAACATTGACGAGAACAACAGTTAACTTGTCATTGGGAATCAGTTATGACAGACAGTTATAGCATAAAGGAAAGTGAATGCAGGACTCTTCTGTTCTTGCTCCTTTTCATTTTCGGACCTTGTGTTGTGTTTTGAAGTGAGTGACTTCCAACTTTTCACTTTCCATTTTTCATGTGATGGACAGAGCAGGCCTGTCTGCTGCAAAGTAATTGGATCATGCTAGGTGCACATTGCTCAAGGCTGCTTGCTTCATAGGTTGCGTGTTGTACTGGAAGACCCACAGCATGAGCTTGCTGGTCTGAGCAGTTCCTTGGTTAGGAAGGTGCCCGCATAAACAAAATGTCTTTCAGGAGTCTCACATTCTTGATATTTCCAGCACTGCATAAGAGTTCTAAAAGAAGATAAAAGCAGTGGTATGCCATACACTACTGCTCACCACACCCCTGGGATTCTCTTGTTCTATGCAATTTCTGTAACATAGTCTTTAAAAATGCTTGTTTTTATAAACATTCACCCTTTTCGTGTACTTTGTTTGCAGGCTGTGGAGGGACAAGCAGCTGCAGATAGCCAGCAGTCATCTTCACTGACCACACTCGTGCTGCCCCTCATGGGGGTGCAGAATTTTCATGCACAATAAAACATGCTCCCTAGGCACCATTTTGCGTCTGTCATGATTTCAGTATAGCATGGAAAAAAAGGTTTGCAGCACTACCTTGGTCATACCCGACAAAATTGTCGTACATCGAATACAAATTTTGGGTCAGGAAATCTCGGTGCAATTGTTTATGTGCCGGGACTCGTATCCCGACTTCAGATGTCGATGTATATTTCATATACAGGGAACCAGAAATTTCACAATTAACGGTGACACGGCGGTGCAAGTTCAATCGTCCAGGTGCAGGTGGTGGTGGGCTGACAGGCGCTCCGCGTAAGGGTTCTCACCTATCTGTTCAGCCCAGCACACCACCACCTGCGCCCTTGGAAGTGCAAATAAAATTATTATTATTATTATTATTAGATACCAGCAACCACAGTTAATTCTTCACCTTTTCTTTTTCTATGCTTGGAACAATATACTGTTAGAGCCAGAATGCTTATGCAGTCAATGGTAAACAAGATGCCACCCATGAGGAGGCCCTCTTTTATTTTCTATTCTAATGCCTCGACGTTTCGCTTATGCGGTTTGCATTTTTGCAAGGTTACCCTGCCAAAAACATTGTGTTAAAAAGCTTTTTCAGAAACATCAACTTATTACAAACTTCCATTTTTAGGTGCCATACCAAAACTCTGCTTGAACTGTCTTTTAGGTAGACCACCCTGCAGCCCAAAAGGACTTACCATGTCTACTTGATTTGGCAAGTTACAAAGTATGACAAAACATTACAAGCAGATACACACAAGTATATTTCGCAGATGTGACGAGAGACAAAGCTCGTAGTAACCTCAACAGCTGCCAGGCTTCAAGTTTGAGCAGGGAGACCCTGGTAGGCAGCACATACTTGCAGAGGTGGCCACCTCTCAGATTTTCAGCACTGCACAGCGTGTCCTCTGCTGTCAAAGCTTACACCGTCCTCGTGGTCGGACTCTTGGGGCTCAAGGGAGAGGCCCCAAAATAGAGCTATACAAGCCCGCATTGTGCAGAAAGTCAAATGAAGTTGCTGTGCCTAGCACCTTTACAACCACCGGAAGCTGCTTTTCAGCATCCTATTCACTGCTCTACGACAGAATCCTAAGCAATGCTTTTTGTTAAGCTTGGCCTCAGAACAGCAGAGCATCCATTGGGGTTGCGAGGAATTGGTGTGCAAGCATGGCTTCAGGGTTTCGTCGCTGTCACCTGCACACAACAGTGAGGCGGTATCTGACATGAATGTTTCATAACCTTTTCAGTTGTCCAAAAGCACATCAAGACTAGATAGAAATTCTATATGCTAATGCAGCCTCTACTTGGAGATAGTAGTTGCATAGCATCCCAAAAAGGCTGAAAATGTAATAATAAAAATGTTGAAAAAAAAAGTGGAGATATTCCACTTGTCTTGCACAATACCCAAAATTATGCCTTCAGAGCAAAAAGGTGTCAATTGAGGTAATAATCTCTTTATTTTCCTTTACATACAAAGGTGGGAGATGGGACATATAATGTCAAACGTCAAGTTGCATGGCTTGCAGCTTGACGAGGCGCCCTACCCGGTGTGGCAGAAAAGCAGCAGAAATGTTTCAGACAACACAAGCAAAGAACAAGATACTGTACCAGTTTGAACCTGCAATCGTAAAATGAAAACGTACACAACGTGCTGCAGCAGAAAAATTTCCAGATGTTGAGGCCCAAGACATTTGGATGATACACATGCAATCACGAGTAAGCTTGAATCCGTGCGACTATCTCACAGGACACTCATCACGGTGAACGAAGCACCCGTTTTCTACCGAGAGCTCTCGTGCAAGTGCATTGAGGAAATGTGTATTGAGCACTTACCGACAACACCGCTGAATTCGCATCGCTGAACTTCTTGGTCATCGTCTTTCCGTCTTCACTTGGCGCGCGAAGCCCACCCACCTTCAGCCCCGAATTATCGATTATCGCCTCTGTAGCATCCAAAGAATGCGACTCGCAGCACACCGACACACGGTGACGTCTTCGTCGCAGCAAAATGTGCCGCCAGCAACGCTCAAAGAGAGCACTTGCTGCTCGGCGGTCACCATATGGGGGCCCCTCGCGACGCCGCCAAAGCTTCCACGGCAAATATCAGCACCAGCGAGTGTCGGGCAGTATTCCCCGATTACGTCCCTGACGAACCTTGAACGGCGAACACATAAAAACGTAGCGATAGTCCGCTTTGGTCCGCCCCGTCCGCGAGCTTGAACGTCGCCATCTTCATTGACTTTGGCAACTTTTGCTGCCCGACTACTACAAAGTTATCTCCATCGCCAAACTCAATCGTGACGACATTTTGACGTCACCGCGAACTTCATTATTTCACCAGCATAGCTCGAACTCCATCGGAATCCGTAGGGAAAAAACTCAATCGCAACGTCACATCACGTGACCAAAAGGGCAGCCAATCAGCGACCGATTGAGTTATCTTCATCGTTGAGTTTGCGATCTAGCATAGACAGACTGGACAGGCAGTGAAGACCCAACTGCGAGAGAAGAGGCTCAAGGTCTGGCTCCTTCTCAAGAACCGGTGGCACCTGCAGCGCAGGAACGGGCTTCCCCTCGGCTACCATCTGCACCTGCACCTCAAGGACTGGCTCTTACTCAAGGACTGGTTCCTCCTCAAGAGTTGGTGGCACCTGCAGCTCAAGGATCGGCTCAACCTCAGCAGCCACCTTCGCCTACGAGCCACAACCTCCGGCGCAACGAACCTGACTTGGATACCTCACCTGTACAAAGAACCAGGTGTGGCCGACGGGTGGTGCGTCCCAGGAAGTTGAACCTTTAGTGTGATTCTGAGGGGGGAGATTTAGAGGGCGCAACCCTCGCGTACGTGATTGCCGCAGGCAACCCTGTGCCACCGCTGGGGCGGCTTCGTGTGTTATTTTCGACAGAATAAAAGTCACTTGTGGTTCTGGCACGAAAGAGTTCGCACGAACCTTCTTCTGGCCCGGCATGGCCTCCACAACTACCTTGTGGCCATTGGCCACTTGTCTTATCCAATATTCGCCGCCATTTCGGAAAATGAGAGCTCTCTACTGGAAATAAAGAGGTTGCTGGTTCGATACCAGGACCAGGCGGACTTTTTCGTTCGCGCACCACACACCTAGCTGTGCTTGGAGATTTGTGTCTGTCGTTTGTTCCCGTTCTCCAGGGATTTAATCGTCATTCTTGTCCAGCTCGCTTGAACCTTTGCATTAATTGCGTTATGGTCATAACCTAAAAATGCAGGCCGTTTACCCTTGTTGGTGCTAGACTGCAGTGTGGCAGCTGATAAAATCCGTCTGCACTACTGACGTCTAAGCGCTCAACTGGAAATGGAGAGGCTTCTGGTTCGCTACGATGACCAGGCAGATCTTTTCGTTCGCGCACCAGTCACCTAGCTGTGTTTGGAGATCTGTGTTTGTCCTTTGTCCCGCTTGTTCCTCTTCTCCAACAATGATTTTTTTTTTTCATTCTTGCACCGTTGCAGTGGCGTCACTAGGATCAGCGGTACCCGGGACGGTGGGTCGCGTCGACGTCCCGCCACAACCCCCCCCCCCCCCCCCCCATACTTTTGGCTTTCTTATTTAGGAGGTGTTGCACAAAACGTGTCAGCGGCCGTCAGATATCTCTCAAGGGTGTACGGGTGAAAAGTATGGTTGGGTGATTGATCGACTTTGGATTGATCAATTATTGCTTCAATCGCGATTCATTCTTTTTAACCGCTTAATCGATTCAACTGAAAAACCGGTGAAGCAAAACAAAAACAAAAACTTTCCTTGGAATGGAGAGCGTGCTGGTAAGGACAGTATAAATAATGGGAAAAACACAAAACACAAGGTCCGACAAGAGGATTTCGTCTTGTCCGTCCTTTTGTGTTCTTCCCATTATCTATATTCCAACTTTAGGTTGTTTTTTACCCCAGTGATTTCAAACAATAGAGAGTTTTAGTAGATCGTTCCGATGACTCTGATAACGATAGCCGACACTCCGCCGTCACCTTTGTGCATGCATCGTATCGTTATCGGAGGTATCGGAATGATCTACTCAAACTCTCTCATAAAACGAAGACTTTCATCTGTTGGTCAATGGGAAACTCACAAATAGCAACACCATGGGCGTACCAACCGGGGAGGCAAGGGGGGCTCTTGCCCCCAGTTCTCAGAGGGGGGGGAGCAAGGCATGTGTTTTTGCCTCCCCGCCCCCCACACACACACAATCAGGGCCGTAACCAGGGGAGGGGGGGGGGGGGGGGGGGGGGAGTTAGGGGGTTCTGAGACCCCCCCCCCCCCCCCCGAAATTTTTTTCTGGGTACGGCCCTGGTCGGTGCACTTGCAGCCAGCCGATTTTAATCTCCACCTCTGCGTACGCGCAGTGGCACCGGTCGGCTACCGGGCACCAAACCGGGACCGGTTCTCCGGTTTGCTATAACTCTCCATTGTATGCCACCGATGCACATGATTCATAGGCAAAAATAAGACAATAGACATTTTCAAAATGGCCGCCGTTGTCCCCGAAAATCCCCCGCCCCCCCCCCCCCCCCCCCCCCCACCGAAATTTTTTTCTGAGTACGGCCCTGCACAAAATCAAAAACAAGTTGGTACGCCACTGAGCAACACTTATCCCCAACTGAAAATGCTCATTGCAGTCACGAAAAAAAAAAAAACATAAAAGGAAAATTATTGTGCTTTTTCCCTGTTTACGTTGTTATACCTGGAAATTTACAAAACCGATTAATCGAATAATTAATCGATTAAAAGGATTAGCTCTAGTCAAAAGATATAGCCAAAATACGGCCGATTATGATCTCACGAGTGGACATAAGAAAGCTCGCCCAGCCAATGAGCAGCCGAGAGAGCTCAAGATGGCAATTTTAACCAAGGCATGGATAAAATCACCACGTTTAACATTTACCTACCCCAGTACCTTGATGCATCGTTTCTTGTTGGAAAAAGCTTGAACATCAAACATTGAGGGACAGGACACGCGTGTGTCCTGTTGTACATCTTGCGTGTTGTACAACACGCAAGATGTGCTGTCCATGTTTCTGCCCGAATTATGTGTCACTCTTTCGTAAAAGATTGTATCCAATATCAAGAAAGCATCACAACTTAATTTGGCGACATTGACTTGAGTTTACCATCAAATATGTTGATTCATATGAAATTCCTGTGTTAATTTCATACAAAACAGGAAGGTTGGCCAAGCTGCGGCTCGTGAGCCGCATGCGGCTCTTCGCGTGTTAAAGTGCGGCTCGCGGCTCCCTTCGATACTAGGGAGTTTTCGTAGATCGTTCCCGCCAAATCCGCAACCCGCCACGAGTTCCGGGTTCCTTCAGTCAAGGCAAACGGCGCGCAAACGCAGTAGCGGTCTCTTCGTTGCGGAGGGCTTACCAGAGGGAGAAAAGCGGTTACGAAAACGAGTCTCGCCTCCGACCGCAACGAAAGAGCTGAAGGAGGAACTCCCCCTCTCCAATACTCTCTTTTGTGTGTCCCAGAAACCGCTCTTATTCCTCGACAAGATTATAGAAAATTAACCCGTCACTCAAAATTCGTACAAAGGATACTTTGGGGTTGCTTGTGGTGGCCCGATCGCTGGTGTGCTTCAGCTGCTTTCCGCGTATGCTACGAGACAATATATAATAATAACATTTATCCCGGCTCAGGACAGTAGCGGCACGGCAGAAAGGCCGATGGCCCATACCGTAAAGGTCTGCGACACCGCACAATACAAGGTGGAACCGTCATGAATTTGTACAGTTGGCAATGACGTAATGGAGTGATAATGATGACGAATACAAACCAGACTTGTACCGTACGCATTACAAGTAATCAAATTACTTGTAATCGATTACTTTTTGGAGTAATTTTGTAATCAGTTGATTACTTTTATTAGGCAGTAATCACAAGAGTAATTTGATTACTCTTTGAAGTAATAAAATTACTTGTAACCGTTACAATTTGTCCACGGGACACCCCCCCCCCCCCGGCACACGCCTTTTTTTTTTTTATGAAATGACAAAAATAAAATGTGCTTTTTTTCCGAACGGAAAAAAAAAGAAAGACTTTTGCGGTGTTGTAGGAAACGAGGTCAATCTCTTTCTATATACAGTTTCTGTGGAATGTCCGTTTTTTTTTTTTTTTTCGAGCTGGGGACTGGGACCGGGAAGCCCCAGGGAAACCACAGTGCGTGACAAAGGCCATTCAGGGCGAAGTTTGAGGAAGCAGAATGTAGCTTTGTGAGCCCTTCGTTCAAACTAGCCCCCTCACGCACACACACACAGAATTAAAAAATAAAAAAAATCCTGCTTAGGGTACCTACTCGCAGTTCGTAGGAGAACCCAGAGCCTTTTGGAGAACCAGAACCGAAGAATGCCTAAAGCGGATGCACAATATAACAAAGGCAGTTGAAATATTTCCCCATTTCCCCTACGTGGTCTTTGTGACAAGCAATGTTTCGAGTTGAGAAGTGGTCGGGGCGATCTCTTCCGCTAATGGATACTACACATGATCCGTTTCAAATCCTGGAGCTGCTGCTTTTTTGTATAACATGCGAGCTCGTCCACATGTAAATAATAAAATGAGTGACGCAAACTTTGAGCGACAACCCTTGCTCAAGCTTAACAAGATCTGGAACCCCCTCCGCTCACACCCCCCCCCCCCCCCCCCACACACACACACACACACACTGGCGAACGCCCAAATCATTAAACGTCTTCAAACGAATTCTATGCTTGTGTCCGCATTGTGAAGGGTGCAACGACCACGAAGAGGGAGCCAGTTTTTTCTTCTTCAATACTTGTGCAAATGTGAAATATAGGTTGGAAGTAGTTCATTGTCATGAGCGCTAAAGATGCGTCTTCACACAATAAAGTAATCGGAAAAGTAACGATTACTTCTTTAAGTAATGCCCAATTACTTTTGCCGTCGAGTAATCAAGTAATCTAATCAAATACTTTTTAGCCAAGAGTAATAGTAATTGTAATCGATTACTTTTTTTTAGTAACGTGTACAAGACTGATACAAACAGACCGGGGGAGGGGGGGGGGGAGGGATAGGGAGCGTAGAGGTCTATGGGAATACATTTGAGGCCTGCCGGCCCTAGAACCACTACGTGAGCTGCGCTTAGAGTATCAGTACTCCGTTCCCCGACATTGTTACGGGCGCCGCCATTTCAGTGCTTGTGCAGAGCAGACGCAACTGCCAATTGTCAAGATTGAAAACTGCGACTTCCTTAGCATTAGATTCGGTGTTAGGAAGCTCATATAATATTGCTTTGCTTTGTCGCGAACTTGTTAAACATTCGTGGAAGACGGAAAAGCGTTTCCTGTGATTTCAGATAAAGCTTCGGATAACTGGCAATCATGATTTTAGGCCACAAAATGCCAAGTGTCGTCACTCTGAAGCGTAGCTTATTTAGTGGCACTAGCCGGCCCTAGTGCCCTCGGGGTCAACGGGAATAGGGAGTTTTCGTAAACCGCTTTCCTCCTTCCGTCAAGCTATATCCGTAACGAAGAGACCGCTACGGCGCCTACGCGCCGCTAGCCTTGACTGAAGAAACCCGGATCTCGA